AATGATTATACTAATTATATTTTAGATTTTTTATATTTAAAATGAGATGTTTATCCTGTATTTGATTGTTTTTATCTGTAGTTAGTTACAAGAATTCAGATATGGGATGAAATCGGATATGGATGAAATCGTTTAGAGATGAACGAGTTTAAGAGTTTTTAAGAGTTTTAAGAGTTTTTAAGAATTTTAGCCAAATACTTTATAAGATAGTATAGATATAATATAATATTATAAAAATTAAAATATAATATGATAAAAAAAATTATACACAATTATTTGTACATTTATTTATATTTTTCTTTTTTGATGTGATTTTACATAATTTTAAATTTTTTATGTTGATTTGATACCATTCTAGTTTTACAACACAAATTTAAAGTATCCTATTTACTACAAATAATTTATAAACTCTACTATTTTCGTAAACAACTCGCAAATACGAGCAACGAACTACAGAAAAAAGGAAATGATGACACCAACCTTTTTTGTACTCTTCTTCATAAACAGCTTTAAGGAGTGTTTATTTAGGACTTAATGGACTTCATAGGTTTAGAGGCTTATTTGCATAGCCAAAAACATATGTTTACTTGGAGCTTATTCGGAGAACATGAGACTTATTCGCTCAGATGGAATTCTACTGTTGTCCATATTAAGCCAAAAAAAAAAAGACACTCCTGCCCTCCTATTCAATAAACACACCCAGACACGGAAACAAACCATAGCCCAACGATTCCATCTATGCATATGATTCCCTTTGCTTGTCCATTTGTGCTTCAATTTTCACTCTCCAAAGGGAATGCTTCTCCAACTTTTGGTTCGATTTCATTTTGATGGTTGGTTTGATATCTATCTGGTTCAACTTGTTTCCTTGTTTCTTTGATTGGTTCGATTTCATTTCCTTGTTGTCTATGTTTTTTGGAACCATTTTATTCGACTTTTGTTTCTTCTGCTTTCTTCTCGTTCTGGAACCATTTGGTTCGATTGGTTCAACTTTTGGTTCGATTTAATTTCCCATCGTCTATGTTTTCTAGAACCTTCTGGTTCGACTTTTGTTTCTTCTGCTTTCTTCTCGTTTTGGAACCATGTGGTTCGATTTTTTTTGTTTCTACTACCACTACTATCCTCCTCGTGTTCATTGTAGAAACGGAACCATGGAACAAGTGGAATAATGTTATATTTGTCATTAAGATCAACAGGTTGTTTTTCCTTTGACATGGTTGTTATTTTTAGACATATCATTTGGCTTAAAAAAATAAACAACAAGTGATCAAGCTCACATGTCTTCCACACCTTGTTCATCCCACGTTCCGTTGAAAAACAAAAGGGTAAAAGGAGTACAAAAGCTACTCTGGATCTCGACTAAAAGCTTATGAAGTTTTTAGACAGATCATTTGGCTTAAAAAATAAATAACAATATATCAAACAATGCATAATCATAATCGGGGGTAAATCGGTCATTTCTGTCATTCAGACTGTTGATTCAGATAAAAGAGTAAACAATAGCACCAATTTATCTAGACAGACAAATTTGGTAAACAACCTCTTACTTTTTATGCTACAAGAATGATAGCTACATGCAACAAGAATCTATTATATCTTTCATTTTTATTTTTTTGATATAATAAGCATATAAAATAATTTTTATAAAAAAAATAGTGGGTACTCGTCGGTTCCGGTTCTAGGTATCCAGTGGGGGAACTGGATAGCCGATCCCGGAACCGGTCCCAACGGATACCCAGCGGTTGAGGGTTTCAAAAAGATGATAACCGAAACCGATCTCGATCGGTTCTATATTTTAGGAACCAGCAGTTCCAAAACGGATCCGGTTTCAAAGGCAGGTACCCGGTTGCTATGCTCACCCCTATTGTTTTATAGGGTTCGTAACAATGACATGATTTGTATTTAAAATCCTTTCAAAATATATATTTGCTTACAAGTGTTGGGTTCATGTTTAAAAACATGATTTTTTGACTTTCTTCAACCTACACTACAACACTTCTGATTTAAGTTTAAGTTTTATTCAAATAATAATAGATCAATGTCTCGAGAAAAAAAAATCAATGAATCTCTAAATCTCGTCTTTGTATTCCCTGGTCTTTTGTATTTTATATTTTTATGCGTTTGAGTTTGTGGTTTTTACATGCAAGGCAAAACACGATCTCTGCCATACACATAAATAACCAGATATATCTACTATACAATCATTAACTAAGGAGACATTTACCAAATGCATATCAGATAAACGTGTAGCAACAAGAGTCACTACTCTTATTTTTCTTATTGTGTAACTTTCCTTGCCATCAAAATGGATTGATGGTAAGCGTTTGGAACGCGGTAAGTACTTAACGAGTAAGAGACATCCCTCACTTACCGGGTAAGACTCTCTCAATCATTGACCCGCGTAAAGATTATCGGTATMTGTTATATTCATCTGGTAGGTAATTGTTTASCAAAGTTTCAAACAGAATTTATAACATGTATAGCTTATTTAGTACGCGAAGGGCCATACATAAATGTTAATAAATGGCTTAATAGGCCAACAAAGGGCTGATTCCTTCAACTCATAAATTAAAGTCATATACATTCAGTCAGCCTTTTTCCCTTACCACCTTCGGAAAAAAAAAAAAACATTCTTCACTTCCTCCCTGAATTCATTCGTCCATCCTCCTCTATAGATTTGTCATGGTGTAGCTCCCTCTAACATTCTTCACGTAGGAAGTTTGTCTCATCAGTTTTTTCCTTACCAAATAAGTTGGGGAGTTTTGGTAGTGCATGTCCTCCTAGATCCAAATAGGACATGATTGGATGCAAAAGAAAGAACGATGAAGAGAGTTGAATAAAACCGTCACTTGTTAACTTGCATCAATGAAGAAGATTGGTGCCCCTAGTAAGGCAAGCTCCACATCCAAGATGGTAATTGGAGCAACCACAAAATGGTAGCCTACTCTAAGCTAAACCACAAAATGGGTAATACGCCACAAAACTAAATGAAACTGCCATATCTAGACAATTTGAAACAATAAAGGCTCAAACCCATTGGAAGAAAACCACAATCAAAGAATAAAATGCATACCAAACTCCCCCACCCCTCCCCCCGTTAACCTTTAGCCACTTAATGTTCCTCAATGGACAAKGTAGCATATAGGTAGTCGTGRACCCATGGACATGGATGMTTGAGTCGATTGAGGGTAGGAGATGATGCCCTCATGATGGTAAATGGAGCAGAACCACAGAAAAACAGCCCACCAAATCTACAAAATACTAGCCTATTTTAAGCTAAACCACAAAAAATGGGCAAGACACTACCAAATCAAACGAAACTTTACCATTTCTAGACAAATTGAATCTCAAATGTCAAATCCGTTGAAAGATGTTRRTCGTGAAATCCAAAGTTTGGTCACRTTCTGGGAWCCGTTAGTGGTGTTGGCAAAGCATAATGAAGGGAAAGTCAAATGAGACTGGAACCACTAGGTTTAAGGGAGGACAAAGAATACCAGAGAATGTATGGATAATGGGATTGGAATCAAATTACCAAAAGTATTTCATGATGTCGAGATAGTGATATTCAACTGGTAAACAAAGAGGTATGACGAACCTGAAACCAGACTTTCGAATCAAGCCTCTGACTGAATCTGGCGAGTGAAATCTACTGTAACAATTATGAAAAAGTAATGAACAACCTATAAAGAAACGGCGGGGAAGATTTCATCATAATCAAACATGGCTCTTGAATAAACGATTGTCAACGACATTGAAGTCATATAAGCAAAACCTAAATAATGATCCAAATAATCAAACATACACTTTCTACACACGCGATACCAGAAACAAGCAATGATCCATGCACTTGTTCATAAATTAATAAACCTCTTCTAGGCGCGTAGTAATCAGTCCATACGAAGCGCAATCACTCAATCTTTGATTACCTACAAAAAAGACAACTAATGATCTGAAATGCTCGCTGCAGCAAGTATAATCATCAAAAACATGAGATGAATCCGGAAGTATAACCTGGAAATATGATCAAACCTGGACACGATTTCGTATGGATGGAGGTCGGTTACCTCAGGGTGCTTTTGGTACGCGCTGACTACAGGATGGGACATCATACATGGGGAAAAATCACGTTGGTTGTTGTGACCAAATACTTGAGATACGTGATCGTATTTTTACACTTGAAATTCACAACAAAACATTTTAAAGGTAAAAAAGATTCGAACATTCACAGCAAAACCACTATGAGGATTATTTTTACAGTGTTCTACTGTGAAGTTTTAAATGTAAAAAAGTTGAAATGCCTAGTTACTCTAAATCAAAAATGCAATCAAGAGGTTATACTTGTCGGTGTAAGACATAGCGCAACAAAATGCCTAGTTATCCCCTTTCCAAAGGAATGTGGCAAGGCATACATTCGACATATGATGTTCCCGTGGAAACAAGTGTTTTTGAGGACTTTGCTGGTGAAGCATGTGATTTCAAAATGGAATATGATAACAAGTTGGTCACCAGTTGATCTTAATGGTAGTATCATGACCAACGTCGAGATCTTCTGATAGGAGGAATGATGCTGAAGTGGTTGGTTTAATCGTCAAATCTTTGAGGAATGGAGCCAAGAACCGGTTTTGGAGGAGCATATGAGAACTAGATGTTGGAGGTAACGATGTTTATGTAAAAGTCTGATATCAATCTATCATGTCACGTATCATCTTCATTACTAGGTTGCTACAATCCAAAAATGCTACACAATCATGTTCCGGATCTTCCATGGTGCATTCATGTTGATTTTGATTGACTTCAATTGCAGTTCAACAATCTAAACGTTTGTCTAACGTTATTTCTAACTTGATTAAATAAAAGCAAATCGAACACTCTCATCAGGTCTCAATTGAAATTAGGGCTTGTGGAGAAGAAAATATACACAAAAATGCCGTTTACCCAATAGAATAGAGTGACCATCTTTATGAAGAGTTCTACCTTGTTTCTTGTCTTATTGTATTCGCTTAAATTGATACAAGTATTATCATTGTTATGATACAGTTAATAAAAATGTGACCGTCATTCAATTTTCATGTAGTCAAGGAAGATTTTTCACCCCCTTTTAAAATAAGACTCGTTAATTTATAAATTTAACCTTTAAAAAAGACAGAGTGTATTACATCGGTGGTCCAATCCTTATGGTTTGCTCACATTTTAGATTTGGTCCTTAAAACGAACCACCTTTATTGATGGTCCATAATTTTTCAATTTAATAACACTCAGAGTTGATAGAGTTAACATCGTCACTTAGCAATCGTTAGGAAAAACAAACCAGTCTTTAAGTAATCTGCAAGAATCAAAAGTATAGTTCACTCTAAACTTAACTATGATTGACATCTTTTTTTTTTATTAAAAATATTTCAAGTACGATTAATGAGAGGTAGTTTTATATTTAAATTTGTTCGACAGGACAAATAATTTTTTATTATAAAAATATAATCATGTTTTAAAAGTTAAAATATTGTGAGACGTTATTTAATTGAATTATCAAATAATTGTAAATACGTTACAACGGTTGGCTTTCTTTCTTTTTCAAATCTCTGCTCATCATCATAAAGGTAACAAAAGAGGCCATTAATTCCCAAAAAGGTTCCGGACTCGTAGAATATATTCAATGAGTGTTCCTTTTTCTTCCTTTTCCTTTTTCATATTATTATCTATTAAAAGATAAACATATAGGTGTACGGATCATAAATATATAAATTTTTAATGGGATTGTATTTCGGTGAGAATGAAAGTTATGGTGAAAAGATATTTCACTCTTAAATCAATGATAATTGAAGATCAACAGTAATGCGATACACCGAATCAATTTCCATGATAAACACAATTCAAGGGGTCGAGGTTGAAATTAAAAGTGATCAATGATCTATATTTTTTCTTATGTTTCTCAGCTTAACTTCTATTTTCGCAGGATCACTCATCTTTTTAGTGTGAGTTAAATACAATCCTGTATATTGTTAAATGCAACCTTACTGACTATTTTTTTCTCATACACATCAACATAAAGATTTACTTTTTACATTCTCAATAAATGATTTAWAATAAAATTKAGAGAGACAAAATAGAGATGAMTGATTTAAAATAAAACCGATGARAGAGACAAATAGAGATGTATTGCTTGAGTACACTTGTAGAATACTACATAAAATTGAATAACCAATCAAGTACTTGCTTCCTCTCTTAAAATCACACAAGACCACAAAATAAAGTTTAAAAGATGCACAAAATAAATTAAATCATGAATTAGGATCGAAGATTTAAATTCTCAACTTCATAAACAAGATATATTACTCTGTATTGGACAAATACCCTTATGTATCTCGTTGCATTGCGCGAATACCCTTCTAATAGTCTTTAATAAACCATGAGTGTCAACTCAAAAGGTAGATAAATGCCAAGGCTTGGGGGTTGTTCTCACTATGTCTCAATTTGAGTCCCCTCAAAGTCGTCGGGGATAATTTTTACTGTTATCTTCATT